TCGGAACAGAAGTTGTGACAACATCGAAAATAATTGTATACAAAATTCGAATGTTTAATTTGGTTGTTTCTAAAATATTTACCACAAAATAATTTTGCTTGATGTTGTTCTGGGGAAGGAGACGGAGTTTAACCTCTCAAAACCCCCCTCGCTGCGCCACTGGCTTGCAAATAAAACTTATTTTTAATGACAAAAAATTGCAACAGATGAATTAAAAATTGTTTAGCGATTTAGTTTGAGAAGTTTTCGTAACATTTGACTAAAACTGCAAGGCCAGAATTCAATTTTAAAGTTCACCTTAGATTTTTCTTTCCTCACTTTGAAACCAAACACTCGTTTAAGTCACACTAAGCGTCACATTATCTCCTAGTAAGTTTATCGCGACCGGATCCGTCAGATACGACTTAAACTCCCCGTCTCCTGACCTCAACCCCACCATGAAGGTGTATTCGCTCTGGTTGCCCTGAAACTGAAACACCGGCCTCTCCGTGGGGTAGATCATCGCCTTGCCCTGCAGGTCCCTCCCCGGGTAGACATACACCTCGTAGTAGAAGTCGTCCACGAAGTAGGGCACGAAGGGCTCGCGCCAATACATCACAAACGCCCCATCTGGCCGCGACGTCAAACGCACATTATAGGGTTGCAAGAAATGCGGGACTTTGAAGGAGACGACGTCGGTGGGTTGCGACCCCACCATGTCGGTGGCGACTTTAATTTCGTAAGTTTTCCCGTGGATGACGCGAAGAGTTTGGGCCAACTCCACGGAGGTGGTGAGGGGGTGGGTGATGAGCATCATGCGGGGGGAGTCAACCTCGTGGATGGTGACCAAGTAGCCAAGAGGTACAGCGATGTTTGGGCAAGAAGCAGACCACTTGATTAGCAAGCAGGGGTCCTCCTCGGGGATGAATTCCACTTGGAGGTGCTCAGGAGGGGCGAGTTCGTCGATGAGGGTGCCGATTGTGCGGAGACTGCGGGCCGGGTGCGGGGGCTTGGAGGTGGGGTCGACTACTCCCACGGCGAAGATGTACTGCGTGCAGAAGGTCAAGTTGGCGATTTCGGTGTAGAGGTCTTTGGTGGTCAATTTTGGTTCTAAAATGGGTAATAAAAAAGTTGAAGGATTGAAGGTGAACTACCTTTGAGGGCTTCCTCCATACTCTCCCCGTAGTAGACTCCATAAGTCCAATCTAAGTGATACTCCCTCAACGGCTTCCCCCAAGACAAAACCACAGCATTGCCAACTTTCGGTAACACCTCAATGCTGATAATCTCCATGTCGATGTAAGCATTTTTACCCTCCTCTTTGGGGCTTTCCGTCGTCGTCGTTTCAATTATCAAGGATTCGGCTAAAGGCAAAGTGGTTGATTCTGCCAAAGCCGTTTCGGTTTTCTGGCCCTGGAAACACTTCAAACAAACACAATTTGCCAAATTAGCGATAAATTAACTTACGCGGATTAGAAACGCAACCGAAATTAAAAAAGTTACTAAACCAGAACGGGGCATGCTGGTCAAACTGCAAATAAACTGTTAGGAGCGAAACACATAACGGATGACGACGATTTCCAATGTCAAATAAAAAATAAATTATACACCAACTGAAGTACTATACAGTGAGCGGCAAAATTATTAAGTTATCTTATTAAAACTGAAAATATTTTGTTATCGCAAAAATGCTCGATCAATTTTTTTAGATTTTAAATACATAATTTTCAACTTGATTTCAAATTTTACGCTTTTTGGTTTCTGAGTAATAACGTCATCGACATTTTTTTAATGGAAACTCCTAATTTTTTATCTATTCGATAGATCTTTTAATTGTCGAAATGACAACATCAAAATATTAAATATTAGATGTTTCGAAAAAAAATCATTCAAAAGGTAAAATAATCAACAAAAAATAAACATACAATTTTAAATCAAGTTGAGAATTTTGTATTTTTAATTATTAGATGTTATTATTATTATTTATCTCTTTTTCTTTATCAGCATTTTTTAAGACTATTTGTTTCTAGATTTATCCCTAG